AGACTAACACGGCTGTTACTCTGAAATTTGTTTCTTTAGAGAGTTTGAACTGTGCAAGTTACCCAGATTGACTTAAAAATCTAGTTACAACTAAATAATCAACAAATTCAGATTTATTTTTGTTAGCATTAAATACTGTGGTGACTTTTTACATGAAGACCCATTTTTGAAGTGGGAAGAAGAAGTGGCTGTGAGAAGGAGATGCAAACCTGCAGTGATTCATAGATTTTATAGTACGCCAACCCCACTGCTATCTAAGGGCATGTCTACACTACACAATTAATTCGACTTAGGTCGAGCGACAGCCATGCAATAATTAAAGTGGCTGTTCATGTCCATACTCTACTCCTTCTCTCGGCGGTGCACGTCACCAGGAGCACTTGCACTGACTGACATGGGGCATTGTCGGGCACTGACAGCTGAAGCCCCGCCATCAAAGGCAGCATCGACCTAACTACATCGACCTAAGCGCTATGTCTCTCGTGGAGTTATTAGGTTGGCGTAGCAGGTGAGTTAAATTGGTGGGAGGAACATTGTACTGTAGACACTTAGAGAGTCAGGTCGACATAAGCTTCCTTACGTCGACCTAATTCTAGTGTAGACCGGGCCTAAGATCCTATAATTACATTGTCTAGATATCACCATTAATGTCTACGGAATAAAAGTTAAGGAAACGAATGTTTTCCCTGATTAGCAATTCTTCTGGTGTGAACCGTAAAGTGGGGGCACAGGAATGGGAGTGTGGCTTGAGGAATTTGAGTTTTCAACCTCTTTATGGCCCTAATTCAGCAAAGAACATCCTTCAGCATGTACCTAACTATAAGCACAAGAGTAGTTCCAAGTCAATGGAACTACTCATGCTTAAAATTAGGCACACACTTAAGCAACTTACCAAACTGGGGTCCATGCTTTTGGTTAGCTCAGAAATAAAAGTTTCAGAGGCTTCTAAGTCACTTAGATGCGTAAGTCCCATTTTCAAAACTCACTCACTTTTGAAAATGTTCTCCCTAGTGTTAGCATGAGGGAGCTGGAATCAGTACTGACTGCTTTCTAACTTGTCATTTGTACATACTGTCCTGTTCGTGTATCACACAACTTTGGTTTTAGCATTTTTTACATAGGTACATGTCTCCAATAGTAAGTGTACTGCTTTGTGACCACATTAAGGTTTGCTCTTTCCACTCAAGTCCTCTCATTTCACCATCTGGGTGCACAAAGATGGGCTAGGGAAACATACCAGTTCTGCGTCAAAAATGACACATGGCTAGCATCTGGATTAGTCACAGGGCTTGACTCTGCAAGGGGTGAGCAGCAACTATGTGTTGAGTACACTCAGAACTGGGCAGAATTGGGCCCTCAATAAAGACGGAGGAGTTAGGCTTGTAGGGGTCCCCCGACGTGTGTGTGGGCTTTGTTCTGTATACCCCTATGAGTCCTAGGGGTTTGGGAGAAACATGAGAACATAATGCTATTGAGGAAGTGATGGGGAGTGGGGAGGGCTAACAGGGAGCAGATGCAGGAGGAGGTTGCAGGGGAAGCACTAGTGTTTCCCTCCCTTCACCACCCAAATCTCCTGCCATTTGTCAGAGGGGAGTCCCAATGCTGCGATGTACAGGAGATTCATCAAGGGTAGACAGTAACAATATAATCATGTGCCCCAGGTACTCTGAAAAATCAAGAGCCCACCCGACCCACAAAATGTCTCAACCCAATTACAGGGGTTACCTTTTTAATACGTAACAGCCGCACATCTTTTCCCATGATCTGATCTGCTGAAAACTATCAAAAGACACATCAGTTAGTCATTTCCACCTTTACAAAGCAGCTGCATGAAATCATTCAGATGAAGCATGTAGTTTACAAGGGAAGGTGTGCACCTCTTCTAAATCAGAGCTATGGGAAGAACAGAACGCTAGTCCGCTGAGGACAATCTGCTTCCTTAGCAGAACTACCTCTGGTCTCAAAGGGAGCTCTACAGGCACATCACAAATCCAGGATAGTATGTAACCCTATGTTTCCCCACATCATTTAATCTTAACCTCTGTGGCATAATTAAATCTTCTCCTTACCATTGTATAGGGGTCAAAATCTTCCACATACTTCTGGAAGCCCTGAAAATAAATAAATGTTTAATTATATGCAGATCACACACACAAAATCCCACCAAAATTACTAGTGAGAAAACTACTCTAAACTACAAAAGATGGTTAGAACATAACATGGAGAAAGACATGCAGGTAGCTGATATTCCTCCTGACAAAGATATTTTAAAACCTTATTATAGGATGTTAGAGAGACCAGGAGAGTGAGGTAATATTTTTTTGCACACACAGTTGTTACTGGGGAATTTCATGCACTGGGTGAGGTACACCACATGTTGTGATAGGCATGTGTAGGACCATGGATCTTGAAAGGTGTGTTGTGGGGGGTGTTGATCATTGTAGCAGTGGAGATATGTCTGCAGGTTTTGCATCTATTGTTCTTGCAGGTCTTGTGCCACTTTGAGTTGGTGTGTCCTGGTCTGTGGGGAGCTTGCCTCTGATGATGGCCTCAGAGAAGTTAGGGGCTTGTTTGAAGGCCAGAAGAGGGTGTTCAGGATGGCAATTTGAGTTGGTAAGATTATAGGCCACATTTGGAGAGGTGATGAAGATAATAGGAATGGTGGGGATGGGGGGACTGACCCTCAGCACCTCTCAGGATTTGGCCCCATATGGTCAGCATTATGAGCCATTTTCTGTCTCCTTCACTCTCACTGAGTAGTATCCATGATGGGACTGCTCACAGAGTAAGGCACTGCTTGGCCTGACTAAGGGTGGCAGAATCTGGTGCTCTATTATCAGCCACAGCGGCTCAGTGTGCATGGGGCTGAGTCCTTTACAAAGCTGCTCCATTCTCTCCTACCACCACCGAAGTCTCTGGAACTATTAGTGGAAACAGGTGTTTGATAATTTTTGGTTTTACTTGCATGATACATTGGTGGGGATGGTGTTAAAATATGGAGGAAGATGCTGTGGGATTGGAGATGGGTCTGGTTCTGGGTTTGTTTATGTTGGATGTGGTGGTGGAGAGAGAGTTATGTTGAGATGGGTTTATTTTAATTTTTTAGGGGATCCTCTTCCTTTTTAGCTTTCAGACCCAAGCCCATTACCTTAAGCACAGCATTAGGGGGTAGGAAACATGTGTGGGCAGGTGGTTGTTTGTGATTATCTCATCTCAAGAAGGTGAGACATTCTTTGGGGTATCCTGGGAGCTGTTGGGTGAGCAGCCTGGGTAGAGGTTTGAGGTTTAAGAAAGTTTGGCATTAATTCTGTTTGGAAGGAGGGGTGTCGCTGTATTGATAACTTTTGCAGCTTGGAGAGCTTTGCTTGTGCACCCAACTCTGGCAGCAGCAACACTTCCGTGACCACTTTAAGCTGCCATAATTTGGGGCTATGGAGACTTGGGGACAGAAAGATCAATTGTGGGAGTCTAGGTCCTTCAATCATTGACACGGTAGATAAAGGGATACTAGGCACACGCCAGGGGTGCCATGCTTAACATCAGTCTCATTGGTCTGGCTTGGCCTCTCCATCTACCCTCAGACTCAGTCTCTATTTCACTGAATACAGGTGACAGAGTCTCTTGGCTATCCCAATGTCTAGCTGAAACAAAGGTTTCTCCACCTTTTTTTAACAAGAGGAGCACTATGTTGTGCCCATTGTCTTCTTGGCTGCTCTTAAATGCCCAAGTTGCAGCAGTAACCAAAAGTGCTTTTGTCCATCTGAATCTGTCAAAGCAATTGTGATCTTTCCTCTGGGGTGTGGACTTTACCAGAGTCATACAGTCACCCCCAGCGTGAATTACTGCAGTGCACTATGCTCAGGGCTGCATCTGAAGAATACTCCAGACTCAGCTAGTGCGACTGCTCTCTTGTTTAGCAGTGCTTCTCACGCAGATCCCATGGCCCGAGCTGCCCGGGGGGGAGGAAGGGGGGGCGCGGGCAAGTGGGGCAATTTGCCCCGGGCCCCACAGGGGCCCCCCAAGTATGTCGGAGGCTCCCCTGGCTTCCGTCTTCCCCCATCCCCCGGCACCTCAGCTGGTAAGGGGGCGGGGTTGCGAGCTGCGGCCGAGCGGCAGGAACTTAGGCCCAGCTGGAGACACCACGCTGCTGCAGCGCTGTCCGGGGCCGCTCCTGGATGCGGTGCGCTGAGGCTCCAGGAGAGGGGGTAAGCGGCATGGTAAGGGGCCGGAGCCAGGGCCGGGGCCGGGGCCAGGGACCCCCCCTGACCCCCATCCCCCACAGCCCTGACCCCCAGCTCTGAGCCCAGCCCCTCTGAGCCGGACACCCCCCTGACCCCCATCTCCCCACAGCCTTGAGCCCAGCCCATGTGAGCCGGGCACCTCCCAACCCAGAGCCCAGCTCCCCACCCAGCCCTGGGCAACAGCAACACCACCCCCAGGCAGCGACAGCCCATTGGCAGCAACCATCATCACCACCCAGCAACAGCCCATTATGTAATTGCAAATGTATACATACCATTAAAGCATTTAATGTTTGTAAATAATGTATTTTGTGTATTTTCAAATTCTTACAAATTAATTTTTGAATGTATTTCACTAGTTATTTTTTACATTTCCAAATACATGTTACTATAGTATTGCAACTTTTTTTTATGGAAGGGGCCCCCGAAATTGTTTTGCCCCAGGCCCCCTGAATCCTCTGGGCAGCCCTGCCCATGGCACCAGTGCTTCTCACTCTGCAATTCCAGCACTTGACTCTGCTCCCACTGCTCTAACAGAGTTAGTCCTTCAGACCCTGTCCCTTATTATACCTTTTCCCTGACAGGATGATGCGTAGGGGTTCATCCCCCTTTTGGTGAACGGGCTTTGGGGAGGTCTTGCTATATCTTTTAGTTAACAATTAGCCAGCTCACTCAGTACTAAGCATGTTCAATTAAAATCTTAGGAGATAAAATCCTGACCCCACTGAAGTCAATGGGAGATTTGCCATAGATTTCAATGCAGCTAGGATTTCACCCTTAAAATTGTATTCATGCACCTAGACAGCATGTTAGATACTAGATTAAAATATAATCATAATATTAATTTATTATTGTAAAATTTACAATGAAAATGGAAACCAAACTGGTCCAGGTGAACAACTGATTTTAAATAGTCGATTTATGTATCTGATTTGAGGAGGCAAGGTTGGCTAGGCAATCATAGTTTTGGAGCAAACACCTTGGAACAAGGAGTTCTAATTTGGTCAGAACCACTGCTTCATTATGTAACCGAGGTCAAGTCACTTGACCTTCCATAGTCAAAGGTCAACCTCATGAAAACCAGATGTTGCTCCTGAAGAAAATTTTCTTGGGAAAATATATTTTAAACAACAGCATAAATAAATAGGTAGATTGATACCTTCTAACAAAAAGAGAACACAATCTGGATCCAATAAGCACGCAAATGCCATACATTCTTTGAAATATATTAAATCTTTCCAGGAAAAATGGCACCACAGTCATTCACAGTGTATTCAGTGCTCTGAACACTGCACATTCAGGAGAGGGCTAATATTTCAGTCACGTGGCAAAACCAGATGAAAAAGAAACCAAAGGCCCAATCTTGCCCTCAGGTTACAGAAGTGCCTCTCTGGGGAAGAGACTCGTCACCTCTCATGTGACTAGAAGGTAGAGTGAATAAAGCATGGATTTTTTTGGTTCATAGGCAATTCCAAAAAATATTTAAAAAGTTTTGTTTTGGGTCAACTGAAACAGACATTTTTCAAAAATTCTAGGTCAGCTGAAAAGTCAAAAATGCCTCAAGTCAAAACAAAATGCTTCATTCAAAACCAATTATTTCAATTTCAGACATTTTGACCAAAAAAAAAAAAAGAGAGAAAAGAAGGAGTAGATTAACAAGATTGCTGGATAAGGAGAAGGCAACCATGGTGCCTTCTTTATAGGCCTGGCGATTGGGGCACTCACCTCAGATGTGGGACACCTGGGTTCAATTCTCCCCCTCCCCCTACACCTGATGTGGAGAAAGGATTTCAGGTTGGGTCTTCCACACCACAGGACTGTGCCCTCAACACTGGACTATGGGATATTTTGGGATGGACTTTCTCAATCTCTCCTCTTGAAACTGTTCCACTTTTCAGAAAGAATTAAAGAGTCATTGCAGCATGGAATTGAACCTGTGCCTCCCACAGCCTAGGTGAATCCCCCAACTACCAGCCTGTAGAATTATTCTCACTCTCTTTGCCTAGCCCATTGACTATCCACTGCTATTCACAGTGGCAATTTATAATCATTCATTCCCACCACTCACATTTGCTGAATCTAATCCTCCTTTCCTTTCATCAAAATGCCTGAAAATCAAAATGAAAAGTTTCACTTCAACATTACTAAGTTGGACTTTTTTTGGTTTGCTCAAAACTATTCTGCAAACTTGATACAAATTGCAAATAGTTGTGATTGACCCAAAACTGCGTTTCTCAGTGAATAAACTATTAGTCCAAAAAAATGCTGCCCAGCTCTACAGGAGGGTAGGTGGTCAAAGTCTGTTCATTTACTAACCATGCAGCCCCACTTTGGGTTCATGGGATTGAATGCATGTAACTGAACAGAATTACTCCAGTAATGCTGTATATTTGGTAGCCCAAACAGCCATTTGCACAGACTTCTAGATGAAGCATAAGGTTAAAAGTTGCAAAGTGGCTAAGCCGATGTGAGTTGGCCACTGAAATCCTATCCTACATATTTAGCGGCAACCAAGCAATTTTAAAAAACAACAAATAAATAAAAAACCCCAAACAACCAGGGAGAACTAAAATGAAGTAAAAATAAATGAGTAGGTTTTCTGAATATGCTAATGTTATACAAGCAGATTATAATATCATTCAGTAACAATCAGCCCCAGAATCTGACTTCTTGTTGTCTGAGACCAATCCAGTATTCCTTGCTCATCCAGAACTGTATTTTTACAAGTAGATCTTTGCAACCTTGTAGAGCCCCACTTAAGTCCCTGGTGCTCTGCATGGCTGCACAGGTCCATCCATATGGATCCAATTGCAGGATCTGGGCCAATGTTTCACATGTTACTAATCTGATGATCTGAGAATCTTAAAAAC